TTTGAAATAAAAGTTTTTAACCAAAGTGGTACAGTCCAATAGAGGGTATCTTGGAAATCTTTGGGTGCTGTGTTTGGTTACCACAATGACTGAGGCATTTAGTGAGTGGGAACCAGGGATGGGACACATGCCACTGGGTATAAGTCAAAACACACAAATTAAGAATTGAAACACATTCTGCATGACTTTCAAAAATCCATTTATAGTCATCTGAACTTAGACTTTAACTTTTAGATACATATAAGACTTTTGGCATGGTTAATTTATGCTGAGTTTTCTAGAAATGCAAATATAATATAAATATAGGGAGGATCATACTTTGTTTTGTTGTGATCTTTACAAGAAGCTGTTGACTATTTCAGAAGTTGACATCACAAATATCAATGCTGTTCATGGTATTTAAGTGGCCAATACAACTCACACTTTTATCAGAACAGACTGTATTTGTCCATATTTCATCTATGGCAATTGTCCAAACAGATGCAAGCAATTGACAACACTCTGCCTTGAGTGTGATTGTGCTCATATATCTATATATTGAGATAACATATTATTGTAGTATGTATTACTTTCTCTTAACGTCTTTATACAAGGCATTATATTATTTTATTACATGTGTATATAGGTTATTATAACTATGATCTTTGTATCAGAATAATAAAGGGTGTATTATAAAATAGTCCTTATAAAAAGGGGGCTTTGGATGTGATATGAAAGAAAAACTATCCTGGTTGAATTATGGTTTGAGAGTAACCAAGTGTGTAGTACCACATGGGTTATGTTGTTGTTGTTATGTGCCTTTGAGTCCGACCCAATTCATAGCAACCCCTCCTTGGGTTTCTGAGGTGGTATCACTGTGGAAGTCGATTGCCCAACCTTCCTTCTGAGGAGTGGCTGGTGGGTTTGAACCGCCAGCCTTCTGGTTAGCAGTCAAGTGCCTTAGGCACTATGCTACCAGAGCTCAATTTAAGGCAATGGACAACAGTATTGTTAGAACATACAAATACTATTTCTTTTAAAATCAAACTCTCCCATCTGTATGCCTACTGGCATGTTTATGCCCAGCAAGGGTGTTATCCAAAATAAGAGGAGATAACATATCTGAAAGAAAAAAAAAGTGAAGCTGAAGTTGGGCTCCTTCTTTCCTCTGCCAAGGATTCTGATATTAATGTGCATGCAAATAAACTGGCATGGTTGATAAAATTCCAAGGCTCCACCTCCAGAGACTGTGGTTCAGGAGGTCTGGGGTAGGGCTCAGGACGTTAAATTAGAAAAAAGCCCTCTCCTGAACTCTGATGCAGGTGACCTCCACACCAGTGCTTCTCAGACTTTAATGTGCATACCAGTCTCCAGGGACCTTGTCACAATGCAGATTCTGACTCCGCAGGTCGGGAGCTGTTGTTTTTAGGGGCCACTGGAAGACAGAATGCCTGGTCCAGCATCATCACAACTGTTGCTATGTTTGGGCCCATTGTTGCAGCCACTGTTCAGTCCATCTCATTGAAGGTCTTCCTCTTTTTTGCTGACCCTCTACTTTACCGAGCATTATATCCTTCCCCAGGGACTGGTCCCTCATGATGTAACATGTCTACAGTATGTGAGAAAAAGTTTCACCATCCTCACTTCTTAAGGAACATCTTGGCTGTACTTCATCTGTTCTGGTTACCTAGTGCTGCTCTGACAAAAGTATACCACCAATGGGACGGCCTTAGTAAACAGTTTATTCTACCGTTCAGGAGGCTAGAAGTCCGAGTTCCTAGTGCCAGGCTCTACAGGCTGGGTGAAAGCCCCTCAGCCTTGGGCTTCAGCTCTGCCTCTTGCTCCCAGTCCACTGAAGCTAGAGGCATCTCTCTACTCAGGCAGCTGCTAGCTACTGAGGCTGACAAAGGTCAACAAGTGAAAAGGCACAGTCCCAGTGTTACCAAACCACATGGCAGGCCATTAATTCAAGTCTGTTGAAAGTCCCAAGGTCAGCAGAGCATGGCAGGCTGCTTAACAACAACATGGCTACATGCAGGGTTCAAGTGTGCCATAAGACCATTCCCAAAGCTGTTTCTTATATACGGGAAGCAGACCACATCCCTAAAGCAGCTACTCAGCTGCTTGTGGTAGGACCCACCATGGAGTTGATTGCCAGTCTCTTCATGGGGAATAACTACCACCAGTTGCCCAGCCACTCAACCAGGCCCAGCCAAGCTGACACACAAACTTAATCACCACATCAAGACATGTCCTCATTCTTCTGGCAGTACATGGTATATGCAATATTCTTTGCCAGCTTTCACATGCATATGAGGCTATTGATAATGCCATGGCATGGATCAGGTGCACCTTACTCCTCAAAGTAACTTTTAAATACTTTAAATAAGTCTTCTGCAGGAGATTAGCCCAATGCATTATGTCTGATTTCTTGACTGCTACTTCCATAGATGTTGATTGTGGATCCAAGTGAAATGGAATCCCTGACTTCAATCTTCTCTCCATCATGATGTTGTTTACTGTTCCAGTTGTGAGCATTTTTGTTTTATGTTGAGGTGTAATCAATACTGAAGGCTGCAGTCTTTTATCTTCATCAGTGCTTCAAGTCTTCGCTTTCAGCAACCAAGGTTGTATCATCTGCATACCACAGGTTGTTAATGAGTCTTCCTCCAACCCTGATGCCATGCTTTTCTTCACATAGGACAACTTCTCAGATGATCTGCTCAACATACAGAATGAATAAGTACGGTGCAAGAATACAAACCTGATGCAGACCATTCCTGGTTTAAAACATGCAATACCCGTTCTTCTGTTTGAATGTCTCCCTCTTGTTCTGTGTTCAGGTTCCTCATGTTCAGATTCTAGAATTCCTAATCTTCACTATGTTATCCATAATTTACTATGACCCACACAGTTGAATGCCTTTGCATAGTAAGTGAAATACAGGTAAACATCTTTCTGGTATTCTCTTCCTTTAGCCAAGATCCATCTGACATCAGTAATGATATCCCTTATTCTACATCTTCTTTTGAATCTGGGTTTAATTCCTGGCCATTCCCTGTTGATGTACTGCTGCAACTGTTTTTTTAATTATCTTCAGCAAAATTGTACTTGTGTGTGATATTAATGATACTGTTCAATAATTTCCGCATTCTGTGGCTCAGCTTTCTTTGGAATGGGCACAAATAATAGATCTCTTCCAGTTGGTTGGCCATGTAGTTATCTTCCAAATTTCTCAGCATAGATGAGTGCTTCCAGTATTGCATCCATTTGTTCAAACATCTCAACTGATAGCCTAACAATTCCTGGAGAATAGTTTTTTTTACCAGTGCCATCAGTGTAGCTTGGACTTCTTCCTTCAATATCATTGGTTCTTGATCATATGCTACCTTCTGAAGCACTTAACCAATTCTTTCTAGTACAGTGATTCTGTGTACTCCTTCCATCTTCTTTTGATGCTTCTAGCATCAGTCAATATTTTGCCCACAGAATCTTTCAATATTATCATTTCAGGCTTGAATTTTTTCTTCTTTTTTTTTTTTTTTGAGCTTTAGAAGTGCTGTGTTCTTCCTGTTTTACTAACTCCTGGTTTTTGCACATTTCATTGTAATACTTTGTCTTCTGAAGCTGCCCTTTGAAGTCTTCTATTCAGCTCCTTTACACTTCATCATTTCTTCCATTTCTTTTAGCTATTCTATTGTGTTTAAGGAAGGTTGGGCAATCTACTTCTGTAGAGATACTGCCTTGGAAACCCAAGGAGGGGTCACTATGAGTCGGGTCCGACTCAACGGCACACAACAAAAACATTGCATTTAAATGCAAGTTTCAGTCTTATGTGTCTAATCTATTTTTGAGCTGGTCTGTAAGTTCCAGTAGGATAAATAAAGGTCGCACTTTGGCTCTGGTAAGCCTTGTTTAGTCTGGACTAAGGCCTGGTATTCTGCATTTCTAACAAGCTCCTAGGTGACACTGATATTGCTGGTTCAAGGACACCATACTTAGAGTAGCAAAGTTTTGTTCATTGAGGACAAAAAGATTCTTGTGCATGGAGAGTACAGGTAGAGAAGTCACCTTCAATATTCATGTACCTGTCTATGTCAAGATGAGATGAGCATTACTATAACTGGATAGCATTTTTACTGACATTCCTATCCTAACAATCAGGGAACTATGTGTGGTGGAATGCAGTGCAAACTTGGGTTACTGAGGATGGTGCTATGTTGGCTTCATCATAGACTATGGAGTTCAGTCATACCACACTGAAGGATTAGTCAACAATGAATCAGTTATTCATCTGGTTCTTGGCTGCAACATTAACAATGTAAGCAAAAAGTCCTAATTTAAACACTGCACCAGTGACAAAGAGACTGTGACACCTCCTTTTCATGGGAGAGAATCTAGCTATGCCCCTGTATAATCTAGGTAATAATGCAGATATAGGCCTAACAGCATGGGGATGGAAGCCTCAGACAATTCGGATCCAAGAAGCAGACTATGGGGTTACTGCAAGGGGGTTAGGAATCCATCCATGCCTATATATACATGTTCTATTTATTAAATGTATGAACATATCATTAAGATATATTTTTTAAAACCTTAGATGTGAATAAATTCATAGCAGTATAAAACATTGTATATTTTCTCAATTAATGGATATTAAAATAATCATATATCACTTGGAGTCTTCACAATAGTCTGACATTAAAGAGAAGTCTTTATTTTCCAGAACATATGCTAGAAGTGGCTTGACACAGGGCAATTCAATCCACCCCCTGATATTTCAGAGAATAAGTGATACATATAAATATATATATATATATATTTAAAGGAAGTGATGTTCAAGTTCTAAGTGACTGAATTTCTCATTCAATAAATCAAGAAAGAAGATGCTGCTGCAGAAATTAATCTCAGATGTTTTAATAGATCTTATTCATGATACGCAGTATTCTCTAAAGAAAGTAGACGGTTGTTAGCCAGGTGAACTTGAATGACACCAAAAACCATGGGCTGCTCAAAGGTCACTAAATGTTGACTGTCTTGGGTGGCTTCACATCTTCAATTTCAGAAGACAGCCAGCGGTAAGTGCGATGACGACGTAGCACCTCAATGGCCTTGACTTCCAGGGGTGTTGCCTGAATACCAAGGTCTTCTAAGCCAGGCAGGTAAGGCAATTTCATGTCTGTGATGTGAACCTTTGAAAAACAAAGAACCACAGAGAACACTGAAAACTGGCCTAGAATAGGAGTGTTATCTTAGTAATCATTTAAAACTTCAAATTGACCTGACTTCTGTTACTGTGACTTAACTGCTTTCAAGGAATATATGGCAGTTTTTTTACCCCTGCAACTCACTGAAAAGTAGAATACAGAAAACCAAACCTAACTTACTGCCATCAAGTCGATTTCAACTCACAGCAACCTTCATTAGGTTTCCAAGGCTAGAAATCTTTACGGAAGCAGACTGCCTCATCTTTCTTCCATGGAACAGCTGGTGGGTTCAAACCACCAACCTTTTGGCTGGCAAACAAATGCCTTAACCACCAAACCACCAGAGCTCCTTAGAACACAGAAAGAGGGTTTAAGAAAAAGAAAAGGCAAGTTTACCAAAGATCAGATCAAAGTTGTCTGGCACCATGAGCACAGGATATGGGCTCTAAATAAGCCACTCCACAGACCTTAGTAGAAATAAACCCTGAGTAGAGAAGCAGAGGTCATCAATTACATTTGCCAGAGCTGGCTACACAGGAGGGTTCAGGAATTAAATAGATGCTGAAGCAGAACTTCACTAGAAAAGGACATCATGTTTGGTAAAGCCGAGGGTCAGTAAAAACAAGGGAAATCCTCTGTGAGACAGATGAACATGGTGGCTACAACAATGGGCTCAAGCATTCTAACAACTGTGAGGACAGTATAGGTCTGGGCAATGATTTATTCTGTTACACACAGGTTGCCGTGAGTTGGAGCTGACTCAACAGCAACTAACAGCAACAAAGTAGAACTAGCCAGTTCCTCAATTATCCCCTCTGCTTGTTCTCTGACCACAGATTTTCTGCCTTATTTTCTAACCACATAACTATGAAGGTAATATAGTACCTATTCATTGCCTATTAAAAGAGAAGGTAATATAGTATTTATTCATTGCCTATTAAAAGATAAATTGTTAACCTTTTTATTCCATATATACTTAACTTGATTGACTAATGCTCACTATAGAGCTAAAAATGCAAATCTAAAACCAAAGGTCCCATATCATGCAACAGCAAACAAATAGAATCAACCTGCACATACAGGAGCATCAATCCCTCACTTCTGCCACCCCAACCCCATACCGAGTCTCTAATTCTTTTAGTAGAGTGCTGTGAGGCAGTCTCAAAACCAAATAAAAAACCCATTAGCTTATTATATCAACATGTTCTCAATTAGAAATGTAAGAAGCACATTACTGTATGATATAATGAGGTGTCCTGACAATCAGTCCTCCTGCCTGATCTCTCACAAACATAACAGGGACATCTTCAGAATGGTCTCCATGCAGCGCATCAGAGGGGAGGATGACTGTGGCCCTCACATCTACCTATTGCCTAAGGCCTATTTTCTCAACTTCTCTACACATTAGGTTATAAGTCACATCCAAGGAAAATCTGACTGCTTCTTGCAAATGAGAGGACTATCAGTCATCAAAGGTGGGCATAGCAGGGTATTTTTATTTTACTTTGTATCTTCCATAGAAATACTTTTACACATAGCGGGCAAATGATAGATGAGGATGATGAGTATAAAAGGCAGAAAGTAAGAAAGGAAGAGCTTTGGAGTAAAGTGGCGTGGCTGAGAGAGTAAGAAAGGATAGGAACTTGGATTAGAGTGGGGACACACGCATGCACTGCCATTGAGTTGGATCCAACTCATTGCGACCCCTCCCTGGGTTTCCAAGGTGGTATCACTACGGAAGTAAATTGTCCAGCCTTCCTTCCAAGGAGTGGCTGGTGGGTTTGAACTGCCAGCCTTCTGGTTAGCAGTCAAAATGCTTTTCACTCTACTTGTGTTAAGTAAATATTTTCAGTGTTATAATTAGATGTTAAATAAAAAGGTAGGGACATGGAGGACCAGTAAGATTTGTCATGTATTTTCAGGGCTGCCACAGTAATACTTGGTGATGCTCTAGACCTGTGCTGTTCACTATAGTAGCCACTAGCCAAATGTGGTGATATAAATTAATTAAAATCAAGTCAAATAAAAATTTTATTTCTACAGTTGCAATAGCCACATTTCAAGTCCTCAATAGTCTTATGTTGCTAATGGTTACACATTGGCTAGTGCTGTTTTTTTTCTAGACTGGTAAAGAAAAGGAAGAAACTGAGGGAGATTCCCAGATTTCTGGCTTAAGCAGCAGAAAAAATTCTGATATCATTAACTGAGATGAAAGAGACTAGGAGAGAAACAAGCTTGCAATTCTATTTCAGGACATGTTATGTTTCTGCCACGTTGATTCCAACCCATGCAGACCCATGTGTAGAGCACGCTATTCCACAGGGTTTTCAAGACTGTGACATTCTGGAAGTAGATCACCAGGCTCTTCTGCTGAGGTGCCTCTGGGTGGGTTCAAACTGCCAACCTTTCAGTCAGCAATCAAGTGCTTAACCATTTGCATCACCCAGGGACTCCTTTCATATGACTACAGGATACCTTAACAGTTAGACATAACAGCGTGAGGCTCAGGGGGTGTGGCCAAGGCTGGAGATAAAGCAGCAGCCATAAGCTTACAGAGAGCCACTGGAGCAAGCATGGGCCTAGGGAAGGGTCATCCAGAGAAAGTGCAGACAAAAAGAGAAGGGTGTAGGACAGAGCCCCCGGACATGTGAACATTTACAGATTAGGAGACTGAGAAGCACAGCCTTGCGAGAGGAGGAAAAGCAACAAAATGGAGAGTGGGCCAGAATCCAGATGGAAAGACAGGCTTTCAAGAAGGAGAGAACAGTCCCCTCTGACAAATGCTGCTCATAGATGGAATGACTGAGGTCGGAGAACTGAGTACAGAATTTGGCAGCACGGAGATCAGAAGTGGCCTTGGGAAGAGCAGTTTTAGGGGGCGAGATGGGAATAAAAGCCTGATTAGAATGGGTTCAAGAAAGAACAAGGGAAAAAACTGCCAAAGAGCAAGTACAGATAACTCTTTGGAGGAGTTATAAGGTAAAGTGATACAGGCAGGGCAGTAGCTGGAGGGGACATACGGTGAGAAGAAAGCTTTTGCCTTTTTAAAATAATAAAGGAGCTATTAAGGCTTGGTTGTATGCTGATGGAAATGGTCCAGCAAAGAAAGAAAACTTGGTAACGTAAGAGAGAAGACTATGGAGGAGCAACCCTAGAGTAGGTTGAGAGTAGAGGAGCTTCAGTGCACAGTTGAGGGGTTGACCTCAGAGAGAAAAAAATACCAGACAAGAGCATGAAAACAGTCCAAGCCAGCCAGCCAGCCAGCCAGCAAATACCAATGAATGCTCTCCCCTCCTTCCCTGCTGCTCTCTGCCTAGCATCCGCCCTGGCCAATGTGCCCCACCCTCCAACTCACCCGTTCCACTTTATCCCTTGTTGTCCAGGGCTCAAACGGACTTATTTCAAAGAATCTTGCTATCAATCTGGAAAAAAGAATAAATAAGACACATGTGAATAAGAACCATAGGAAGAGAGGCTCCAGTAGAGATGGGGACTTGTGGTCCTTTTTTTTTTCTTAAGAAAAAGACCAACCTGCGCACCTGTGAGGTTATTTCTACTTGCTAGTCTCTATTTCAACTCAACCTAGCCAGACTGCTGTAACATACTCTCTACCAAAAAAACAATGAATCTTAAAGTAAAATTTAAAACAAAACCAACAACAGCAGCAAAAAAAAAAAAAGAGAGAGAGAGAGACCCAATAAAGTCTATAAAATTCCATTCTCATTTAAGTCTCGACATTCAGATATGCTGCCATTAAGGATGCAGGGCCAGCTGAGTGGCCCGCATACAAAGAAATTGCATATAAAATGCAATTTCCAAGAGCAGGGTCCCAGGAAACAAAGATTCCAAAATGTAAGGAGAATGCCAGGACCTATGACTCAAAGCAGGAAGAAAATATAAAACCCAGGACAAGAGGGGCGACCTATCTTGATCAATGCCCTTTCTTCCCTGCTAATAAAAACTGAGGGTTTTCCTGAAACTAAATGTACACGTTATGTTGAATGTAAAACAAGCTTTTAAAATTTAAAAAAAAAAAAAAAAAAAAACTGAGGGTTTTCCTTACATGCCATCTGAGTTCCCATCTTAAGTATCCTCAGAGCAGAGGTTTTTGAAGTAGTGTCTGAGGAATCTTAGGAATTCCTTGGGACTCCCACAGGAGTGGGTCAAGGACATTGTGGAAAGTGCTCTAATATCACCCATCATTACAACCAGACCAGCTCTGCTTTTATCTGATTTTCAACCTTTTCCACATGCACGATTCAGTGACACTGATTACATGCTTTATGTAAAAATTCATTCAACCCAGGGCTCCACAGTTTTTCAAAAGCTTGACAATCACCGATCCAATCCAACTGAGTGGTATAAAAAAATGAAAAAGGAAGCTGAAACTGATCAGAATTTCTTCAGCAACATATAAAGCCTCAGATTCCAGTCAACCAGTCCCAATGACAGATAAAGGCAATATAATGAGCTACTATAGCTTGAATAAAAACACCCTTTACAAATCTCTGATTCTGTGCTCTAGTCTTATGTTAATAAAACCCTTCTGGTCTCTACTAGTGTCCTCGGTGGGCAATACATGTTTGTGTGCTGATGGGAAGGATTCCACCTCTGACTCTCCGTTTCATGTACAACCATGAAAGTATCTCAGTGCAATCTGGCTTACACCAGACTGAAATCACTGTGGTCACTAATGACCTTATTACTAACTCCAGTGGATACTTTTTGGTCTATTACCTTATTTGACTTTTCTGCAGCATTTCATTCATTTCATTTCACGATATTAACAAGAGTGCCTACTGTGTGCCACGCACTATTCTAGGTGATGGAGATACAGCTGTGAACAAACAGCAATGCCCTCCTTTTGTGTTGAGAATACACACAGCAAAACATACACCAATTCAACCATTTCTGCATGTACAATTCAGTGACATGGATTACATTCCTTGAGTTGTGCAACCATTCTCACCCTCCTTTCCTAAGTTGCTCCTCCCCCACTAAAATAAACTCACTGCCCCACAAGATCCCTATGTAATCTTTCAAGTTGCTGTTGTCACCTTGATCCCATACAGATAGTTCTTAAAAGAGCACAATGCTCTCTTTTTTAAATTCTGAGAAATCTATTTCTCTGCTTAAAATCTACCAAAGACTCCCTGCCACTCTTGAGACAAGTTCTAAACTCTTTAACACGATTTCTCAGGTCTTTTAGGATCTGAGCTCAGCCACTTTCCCAGCACCATGTCTTGTTCATACTATTTTCTTTCTGCTCAAGCCATACTCAATTACTTTCAGTTCTTACATAAGAAGCTTATACACTTGCTATTCCCTTTTTCTAGAATGCTGCCCCTGCCTCTATCCCCTTCACTGGGTTTAACGCCTGTCTTGCTTCAGGTTTTGGTTTACTCCTTCTTGACCGAGCCTAATGCCCTGCCAGTGGTTTCCTATAACACCCCAAGCTTACCTGCATTTGTAGCATTTAACAAGGAGGCAGTTCAGCAGTTTAGAACACAAACTTTGGAGTAAAAAAAAAAAATACCTTGGCACAAACCCTGACTTAACCATTAAGCTGCTCTATGACCTTGAGGCAGTTACTTAACCTCTCAATGGCTTGGTTTCCTCATCTGTTAAATGGGAGTATCAAAGCATGTACTTCATAAAGTCACTATGAGAACTAAATGAGACGAATCAAATAGCCTGAAAAAAAGCACATGCTCAAATATTATCATCACACTGCATTCTGTTTATTTTTCTGATACCTCCATTACACCATATGCTTTTTGAGCATTAAGTGTAACATCTTGAGCGGCTAGTATTTCAATATTTGTTGAATGAATGAATAAGCAAATCGAATGAAAGAATGAATTGCCACGTTGGTTTATAAATCAGTCTCTGGCAAATTTGATGTGAAAATCTCTCTGACCAGAACATTCATATGTGAGCTAATAATTCCGAGACTGTGAATCTTCAAAGGGAAGAACTGAACCAAGAAGTAGGGAAAGAAGACGAGGCAACCAAAAGGTCAAGTAGCCTGGCTCCTTTCCCTAACTACATGATCAGACTGGGTTAATAAATAAGGGCCTTTTTGGACCAGGTTTGCTGGACTGATAATAGCGTGATGGAACCACTGAGACTATGGTCCCTAGCTGCCCTTCAGGTCTAGAATTGAACCCATTCAGTGGCTTCCAGCCAAAGAAAAGACAGGCATGTGAGGTAAACATTTACATTAGTTAGATACACTCCTTGGAGAGAGCAATCATGGAAGAATAGAAGGGCTATGCACAGGGAGACAGCTCAGGGGACAGAAGTGCATGGAGGGAAGGACACAGGAAAGAAGTAACTATGGGGAGGAAGTGGGAGTGGAGCTGTTGCATTATGGGAAACTGCAGTCAATGTCATGAGACAAAAGGTACGTGAGCTGCTGTATGGAGAGCGAATTTGATCTGTAAACTTTCACCCAAATGACAATAAAATTTTTTTTTAAAAAAAAAGAAGGGCCCTTTTCCTACCTCTGGGTAAGTGATATGAAACAAAGGAAAACTTGACTGCTCCTTTTACCCCATCTCCCAAGCAAGACACTTCTCCAAATTACAACTCAGTGGTTTTTAAATGGAGGATTTGAAGAACTGAGGATTTAACTTCCTAAAGCATATGAATGATTAAATTTCAAAATGCACATTGTTTTTCTCATCTACACCACTACATTTCCCTTTCCACTAGTTCTTTTCTAGCCTAACCTCATAACACCAGTAGCACCTCCTATTTAGACGGTTGGACACTGGCCCTTCATTAAAACAAACATATTCCCTAAAACTTTATGTAAAGACATTAGGAGAAAGTGCATCAAGTTAGGTGTCTTCTAGAAGGTGCATGATAGAAGCATTTTACTTACCGATAGGCAAAATGTGGCAAGGGGTATGGGATGAAGGGTCTGTGAGCCACAGAAAACACATATTGCATCAGGTCAAAGAGGAGGTATCGATTTGGCCTACAAAAAGAAAATACGTAACTCTTCAAATGATTTTGCTCTTCACAAATTTTCTTTTTTAATGAAGTAACATTTGAAACACGTAATGTATTATAGTAAATACAGACTGGTAAAATGAAAAATCACCCATAATCCCACCAACCAAAGATACATATATTTAATACATACTCTTCACATCCCCTTACAAATGCAATTTTTTGGTCTTTACATGATTGATTATACAATCCATCCTATTCTCCAATGTCATCTTCATTTAGCATACATCACAATTATCTTTATATGTCCTTAAACATCACACACTCAGTGATTCCATTGAATCCACACACACATTCCATACCTGTAATCGTAACTTATTTTACCAGTTCCCAGTTTTGGATATTTAAGCTACTGAATATTTTTCTTTTATAAAAGGATGCTTTAATGAACATTTCTGTAATAAGTATTTGTACCTATTCAAGACTGTACACTTAGGATACATTTCTAGACATGGCATTGGGTCAGAGTGCATTTTGAAATTTTAATATTATTTTTGAATACTATTGCCAAACCGCCTTCCAAAAAGGTTACATCAATGTACATAAAATGTTGTCAAGAATACCTTTTCACTAAAAGTAAGCTCAACCATATAAAAAATAAACAATTTTGCCAATTTGCTAAGTAAAATGGTACCTCAATGTTTTACCTAGCATTTCTTTAACACTGAAGATATTTCCTTCTTCTTCCCCCAACCCCCACCATTTACAGCTTTTGTTCTTTTCTTCCCTTTCTTCCTGGGGTTCCCATCTCCAACAGCATCTTGTAAGAATCTTTATATTTTAATTATATAATCGGAAATATCTTTTATTTTTTGTATGTTGTCTTTTAATGTTGCTTATGGTGTTTTGTGGCATTGTACACGTTTAAGCATTTAATTAAATCAAAATTACCAATTTTTTTTCTTTTATGGTTTGGTTTTGTATTTAGAGAATCCTGCAGTCACCAGTGACATACAAGTTCTTATTAGAACTTATTTTTGCATATGAAGTAAAATGTAATCATATTTTCCCCAAATGGCAGCAATTGCCTCAACACCTTTCACTAAATAATCCATCCTTTCTGTATAATTTGAATTGTCATCCTTATCATTGCCCAATCTTCCTTCCGAGGAGTGGCTGGTGGGTTTGAACGACCAATATTCTGGCTACCAAATACCTTAGGCACTACACCACCAGAGTTCCCATCCTTATCATACACATACTATATTCTTACATATACATAGGTCTCCTTCAGGACTTTCTGTTCTACTCCACTGATCTGAAGAACCGTTTTGTACCGACACAGTGTAGCTTTAAACAATTATTGTATTATGATGGATTTAGTAATCTCTTCCCCTATTTTCCTAATCCTTTTGCCTCAGGAAGTCTGGGATAGCTGAGAGATGAATGAAGATAATTCACTAAGAATGTCATCATTCTGACAAAATTCATTTTAAAAAAACAAAAGAAAATGTCAGCTAAAGGAAATATTAGATAAAGGCCTTAAAAGGCTTCCATCAAATTTCACAATGATTTGTAAGGGTCACTGCAGGATATTTAATACACACTACGCTAAAGAACAAGGCACTCTGGTGGTGCAGGGCCTAAGGCATTTGACTGCTAACCAGAAGGGTGGCGGTTCATACCCACTAGCCACTCCATGGAAGGAAAATGGAGCAGTCTACTTCCATAAAGACTCATCACCTTGGGAACCCAATGGGGATCACTCTGAATCAGAATCAACTAATGGCAGTGGGTTTGCTTTTGGTATGCTAAAGAACAACTTATAATCTTTACAATAACAATCAATATTGACACCATGGGTAAACTAATTATTATATCTTGACTCTTCAGTTATTCCAAACTACATTGTGTTGCATTAACTGTGACTCAAAGAAAACTAGTTTAAGTGACCTGATAGAAAAAAAGCTACACTGAAGCCTGTGTCCTTCTCAGTTTAAATTTCATGGTTCAGCATTATAAGCTTGCCTTTGCAAAATCCTCAGCAAAACCTGTCCCCCACACTCGTCTTCACTATACTTTCCCAGCAAAACCTATGTACCTGCCTTCTCTGTGCCCCAGCAGGGCAAAATAGTAGAAAAAATACAACTGAGCTAACATTTCACCTTAATTTTCTGATTATTAACTTAAAATGGATACTCCATTCTGCTTTGCAATTCTACTGTGCTCACCTATGAAGTACTCTCTTCTGTTCTCTCGGGAATAGTTTTAACTCTGTCTTCCAATTTTCCATCCAACTCCATGGCCCACCCCATGCCGCCTTTTAACTGATGATCCCTTACATTTCAATGAGAAAAGAAACTGTCTTAGAGTCTTATAATCAAATCTACAATTCTATCTGCATCTACAGCTACATCGATCTTTGATTTCTTTTCCCTGTAAAAATTGAAGTTTGCCTTCCACCAGGCCAATTCCAGGACTGAAATCCTGTAACCTACCTTTCTCAATTACTGAAGGACTTTGTTCCTTTGGTCTTTTTCCTTATCTCCTGAATCTTCAACTTCTGTCTCTCTTCTGGATCATTCTTATCAATTATAAACATGTTTTACTATCTCCCTAATCCACGGTAGACCTCCCTTGGCAGCACATTCATCTTCAACTACCATCTCTTTATGACTTTTTTCTGCTCATTTTTGCAGCAAAACTTCTTGAAAAGTTGCCTACCTATGGTGTCTACTTCTCTTGCCACTCAAATTTCAAGCCAGTCTGTCTTTTGTCCCCATTGCTCCAATGACACTGTTCATTCAGGTTACCACAAATCTTCATGCTGCCACTACTCAGCTTCTCAACAGCATCC